CTCCTCCTCCTCCTCCTCCTCCTCCTCTTCTTTCTTCTTCTTTCTCTTCTTCCTTCTTCCTCTTCTTCTTCTTCGAGGTGCATTGACCAGAACTGCACACAGTATTCCAAATGAGGCCACACCACTGATTTATACAGGGGCATTATGATACTCGCTGATTTATTTTCAATTCGCTTCCTAATAATCCCCAGCATAGCATTTCCCCTTTTTTGCAGCCCCAGCCCCAAAGGGAGGGCAAGGAGGGTGCCAAAGGTGAGGGGTTCCCTTATACCCTTACCAATAACCCCGCCTATTGCCCAAGTTTGAAATAACACACACACACGAGTTATTTGCAACAGAATTGGAATAAAACTGGCCACAACTTTATGGGTTACAGTAGTAATAAGCTTTGGCACAGCATGGGGTACTGGATCCTGTTCACTGACTGACCCGCCCACCAGTTGATGATCCCCTGCCTGCCCCAGCCCACCAGTTGGGGTTATGGGAAACCTTGCGATGACAGGTTTCTGGATCCCACAAGGGCAGCCATCCTGGAGTGGTCTCCCCTGCCACCTGAGCATGAGGATAATCCCCAGCAGTGCCCCCAGGCTGGGTGTTCCTCTTTGCCCTCATGCCAAGATCCCTTAAGGGGATCCCCATACTCAGAAAAATGCACACACAGGCCGGCTATCCTGAGAATGGATCTGGTCCTGTGCTGATACTGCTAAGTTGCAACAAGGAAGAGAGTAAATGAAACAAACCTGCATGCAAACCCCCCACTTACAAACTACTTCCAGCAAGGGACGGGAGGGTGGGCCAAAAATCACAACGTCGAAAGGAGGGCGAGCCGGGGCAGCACACACCCTAAGTAGCAGCCTGGACACCCCTGCCCCCACCAGCTATCCCCATGGGGCCCTGATGGACTCCAGCTTCCCACGTTTGTGACCAGCTGACCCACTCTGCCCCAGCAAGAACTGTCTCAGCCACCTTCACCTTCTCCACCTTCCCCACAGTGCCGCAAATGGGACCCGCAGTAAGTCTGAGCCCCAGCTTATTGCTGTGGCACACTGAGGCATTTGCCTTTTTTATTGCTGTCATACACAGAGTCAACATTTTCAGTACCATGACTCCAAGATCTCTCTCTTGGTCAGTCTCTGCCAGTTCAGACCCCATCAACATGTTATTTATAGTTAGGATTTTTGGCTCCAACGTGCATTACCATGCACTTGCCCATGTTGAACCTCATTCGCCCCGTTGATGCCCACTTGTACAGCCTCGACACATCCCTCTGGAGTGCCTCACAATTCTCCCTGGTTCTAACCACCCTGAACAACTTGGTGTCATCCGCAAACTAAACCACTTCACTGCTTACTCCCAACTCCAAATCATTAATGAACAAGTTCAAAAGCACCAGACCTAGTACTGAGGTAGACTCTCCAATGGATCCCTGAAGGGACCCTAAGCCAGCACCAATACTGACCCCTAACTCATTGGTGCCCTCAGGCCTGGACCCACCTATGACCAGACCCCCCACAATCTTCCAAAGCACCCCAGAACCAGTGGAGGCGAAGGACTAGGCATGGACCAGGTGCAGAGCGCACACCTGGCAGCCTGAGACGGCATCTCTGCTAAGGAAATGCTAGGAGAAACTGATAAGTCACCACAGGATCTGGTCTCCAGTACGCCTCATGAGCAGAGATTACTTAGCTTGGGAGTAGAAGCTTAACATGGGACCCAGCAACAGCTATAGGGAAACTCCTTATATAAGGCTGCAGCCAGTATGGGATCAGTTTGTCTGCAGCCCTGCTGACTATCCTACCAGTTGCTTGACTTGATTATTTATTTGTTTATTTATTTGATTTATACCCCGCCCTCCCAGCCGAAGCCAGCTCATGGCGGCTTACATAAAAGATTAGCTCTTGGAACCTTGCTAGCTGACCTTGGACTGCTTTTGGACTGTGATTCTGGATTACCTTACTGGACCCCAGACTTTGACTTTTGACTGGAACCCTTTCTGGGTGTCCTCTTGTGGACTGAGACTTGCCTCCAACCTAGTGAGCCGGACAAGGACAGACCCTCTCTCATGATCCCACACAGCGGCTCCAGTCATCAGAGCAGTTGCTCCTTTTTGTGCCCTCTGAAGCAAAGGGGCCTACTGCTGGTGCCTGTGCTCAGGCCTTCATGGTAGTAGTTCCTGTGCTTTGCAACAGTGCTGCATTAGAAAGGAGGCAGGAAAGAGCCATTCCATCAGCAATGCTCTGCATATGATCCTTTGAACCCAGAGATACTAGCTCTACAGAGTGGTTATCAAAACATGAGTTTATATGTAATAGTTAAAATCAGACTACCTTTGCAAGAGCAATTGTACTACCACGCATCTGTTCAAAACTGTGTAGTTGTTTGGGGGGAGCTTCAAGGCAGCAGGCAGAATATATAGGCAAGTGGGTTTTCAGGAAAGAATGCATTTCAGCTAAGCGTAGAGTAGTTCCTATGTCAAATACTGAAGTGAACAGCACATTCTCTTTAGCAAATAAGCCTTCTCCTGCTTTTGGAACAGCTGTGAAAAGAGAAGACGTGTAAAGACTACTTCTAGTGAAGGCAGTAATATAAACATTTTACAGTATGTTTATGTACAAAATAGACAATGAAGTGCATTAAAATTCAGTACGATGTAAAATGCTTCTATGAATACTCTAGAGAAAATGTATTGTTTTGTCATCAAGTATTCAGATATGTCTTGTTCAAAGAAAACACAGGTAAGGTTTACAAATTCGGAGTAAGTATCTGAAGCAAATACTTCTGCAATATCATTTGCTATGGTATTACAATAGTTCTGGTAGTAGTGGCATTAGGTTTTTTTGAGGCCTAGGATTCCTATAAATATTTATGTCTGGAATATGACAGATCCACAGCCTGCTACTGACTTCCTTTTTTTTTCCCCTGCCCCCCCACCCTGCGCTCTGTGGTGGTGGTGGGGAAAGTGCCATCAAGTCACAGCTGACTTAGGGTGACCCCATAAGGCACTGTGAGACTCAGAGTGTTGGACTGGATGGGCTTTTGGCCTGATCCAACATTGGCGTCTTTAAATAAAAAAATTAAAAGGTAGCCCTTTACAAAAAAAAAAAAGGTGGACAGTTCTCCTAATGAGCAAAATTATGAAACTGGAATGGGGAAATTAGAAAAATTACTGTCCTGTAATGAGATTCTCCTCCCTTCTTCTACTTAGATTTGTACATTTATGAAGCTACAGATTCCAGAGCTGAACTACCACTATAATACTAGCAAAGAAGAAATAGGTTTTTTGTTCCAAAGAAATAATTTTTGATACACAACATAATTGCTCCAGAATACTAGTCCTCTAAAAGCAAACTAGTTCCTACCAAGCAAGGGGCTCATGTTCAAGAGCCTGTTTAAGTAGGTATTGTAGCGAATTAAGTGGACCCAGGTTATTTTCAGCCTGGCCTGCATATCCTCATATGATGAACTTTCAGCTGCATCACAATCTTCTTGCCCTTGTGCACAAGACCCTATGGAAGGGACTTTATAGGTAACTTCATATCCACCTGGAAAACCAAAAACATATTTAACGTCATCCTAATTCTCTGCAACAACGCAGTGGTGTCAGGTAGTAATTTTGAAGCCCATCCTGTGCACATAGTGCAAAACAACAAAACCCAATCAAGCCATTTTCTAGGTTGTCAGTTTGATACCAGCAGGAACAAAAACCAAAAGCAGCTGACACAACCTCTCATAGTATGCATGGCAAGGCAGTGACCGTGAAACTGCTTTTTCTCTCATACCATGATAAAGCCACTATCAAAGGTGTTTGTATCCCCATTCCCATTAGCTTCCCTTTTATAACAGCATACAATGCAGCATGCTTGACAACTTTTAACATGAAGTGGATTTTTTGCTAGGAAGGCTTTCTTAGCATGTATGTTTGTTGGTGTGTACACATAAGTATAGATCCCAAATATTCTAAAATCCAGTCTCAGAGGCCATTATGAGATCCTTGCCATAGGCCAACTCAAGAGTAACACTCTAAGTGACTATATGCAAACTGGTCTGCGGCCTGGAATCCAAACGGGAGCAATTCCCTCCCATATCTGTCCCTTCTGTACACTGTAACCTACCCAAGACTGAATCTATTAATTACATAAAGGGAATATTCTTTCAATCAGTATAATCACATTTGGGACTAACAAATAATTGTCTTCCATCAGTTTGTTTTCTTTCTCCCCTTGTAACATGAGGCTTGGCTTACCTGATTGAGTAATCTATGACCCTGTGAGTATTTACTCTGTTGAGGAGTATTTTCTTCTCCTAATCCCCCCCCCCTTGTGCTTTATGTCTTACAAATTGTGAGCCTGAGATTAGGGATCTGTACGAGTCTTTTCCCACACAGAGTTTAGCATATCATAGGCATTTTTATTAGATTAAATTGGTCATGGGGCTCTGAAGACATTTTGCCACCAATTCTTTGTTTGCATGGGCTCACATTGCATAGCCTACCTCCACCCCACAGCAGTTTGAACTTTATGAGTTAAAACTGGAGATTCTTTTATTCCTCTTTCCTACAAAACTTTAACTACAGATCAGGCTGCAAAAGAAAGTTCCTTTACAATCTTATCACAGCTAAAGTGTGAGACCACTGCCAAAACAGAAGCAAAGGCACCCAATAACTGCAGCTGGCAGTACATGTAGAACAGGAAATTTCTTATAGGGAGCATTTATTTAGATCCAGTTTGGTGTAGTGGTTAATCTGGGAGAACCGTGTTTGATCTTCCACTTGCACCTGCTGGATGACCTTGGGCAAGCCACAGTTCTGACACAGCTGTTCTTGAAAAAGAGCAGTTTCTGTCAGAGCTCTCTCAGCCCCACCTACCTCACAGGGTATCTGTTGTGGAGAGGGGAAGGGAAAGGAGTTTGTAAGACGCTCTGAGACACCTGTGGGTAGTGAAGGGCGGGGTACAAATCCGATCTCTTCTCTTCTTCTTCTTAAGCTTTGTAGGGTTAACTCAATCTACTGCAGGTGCAGCTCAAGCAGAGGGATTGCCTTAAAGTATAATCACCATGTTCTTACCTCTTTCCTTGACATGCACATAAGCATCATACAAAGTTATCCCAATTACAGGCCTCTATGTGCCTCCCATAGCCCTGCGCAACACACCTTCTGCACTTGGTAGAGGAACACTGCTGTGGGAAGGATGAGGACATGGAATCAAGCACAAAGATTCAACCTACTGAAACAGCCTGGTGCAACACACAAGCTAAGGGGTGGGGGGAATATGTCCTATAGTAATCCCTCAATGCATGGGTACTATATTTACTGTGAAATGGATCCAAAGCAAAGTATATATATTACATCCTTTACATCTGTTTGTATCATTACTGCTTCAGTCATAAGAAAGGAAATCATTAATGCTCTAAGTTCAGCAGCACAGTATCACTTCATATGCCCTTTTAATAGAAAAGTTTCTATACAAAATGCTCACTTGCAGGGCTTTTTTTGTAGAAAAAGCCCAGCAGGAACTCATTAGCATAATAGGCCATACCCAACAGCAGGGACTCATTAGCATATTAGGCCACACCCTTGACAGCACTGCTCATTAGCATATTAGGCCACACCCCATGTTACCAGAAGTGTGGTCATCCAGCCACACCCACCTTTTGCATCTTATTCTGTTTACCTTGTTTGTTGTCAAAACCCAGGGCTTTTTTTGGAGCAGGAACTCCTTTGCATGTTAGGCCACACACCCCTAATGTAGCCAATCCTAATGAGTTCCTGCTGTTGGGTGTGGCCTATTATGCTAATGAGTTCCTGCTGGGCGTGGCCAACTTGGGAGCCAGCCGGAACTCCGTTCCTGTGCGTTCCTGCCCAAAAATAGCCCTGCACTTGTATGTCAGTGTGTAAATGATAAATTCACCTATCTCTTTCCTTAACAATCTCAAATCTGGTTTTAGCATGAGGTACTTCCTATTTTTCTTGCAAAATTGCCTTTTGAAAATTTGGATTCTTTCTTACCTCCCTTATTCAGTTCCCCTTTTCTTTAAGTTACAAGTTATATGTTCAAAATAAGCTTGAAAAATAATTCAAGAGTTGAAAATGGATTGCCATGGTAGGATAAACAATGATTGCTTCCAGTTACTAACGCATATCTATGTAAATCACTCTGTGTTCCTAAAATGGTCCTTGGGTAAACATCTGCAAAATTTGGAAGGTGCATACTGGCACTATCTCTAAGTCATCTGGCAATAACTCATTATCACTGACAGGCAAATTAATTGGGTTATCTCATTGACAATCAGCAAAAAATTCTCTGTGAAAAGAATTATGGGAAGCAGTTTTTTGTTTGTTTTTGCATTTGGCATATAAGACAAGCCACAGCTTTCTTATATTCCACAATAAGAAAAACATTTGGCATATAATATAAAACAAGGCACAGCTTTCTTATATTCTACAATAAGAATATTATACAGACATCCTTTTTCTTATTGCTGTGTTTTTTCAGTCATGAATTACATGTGCTTATTAATTTTCTGATTGGTTTGATAATCTTTAGACCATGAGATGGTACAAACAAGATCAACAGACAAATACCAGACAAGAAGTCTTTATAGGAAGAACCGAGGTCCAGAAGGGCAAATTCTGGGATGTTGCGCTGTACTCTTCCTCTCACTTGATATAATTTAACAGCCTTCCTTCCAATTAATTTCTGGTAAGACAGAATAGCTTCACTGACCTAGAAATAGGATGGATTTAATCAGGTTGGGCTCCTTGTAATGTGTACTACCTTTAAAATTGGAAGTCAGTACACTAACAACAACAAAACAAAAATCCAATATACGTTAAATATAAAATACTGAAGAAGTGTTCTTTGTTCTTCTGTTGTAGGAAGTGTACTCGAGTCATTATCTCTGACAAGTTAATTATTACACAAGTGATTTAAAATCATACAAATGTAGTTGCCTGGTGTTTCACATAATCAAAAGAGAATACATACACATATAAGACATTTAACAAACTATATTAGATTGCATTCAAGGGGGAAAAAACCTGTAAGGATTATATCACACAAAATGCAAAATCATGGTTGAATTAAACTATTGTTAGCGCAATCATCCAAATGTGAACCAGTCCTATTACTATGCTAGTTAAAGTCCATCTCACCAAAGTCTGAATCCATGGCATGAACTTTATTAACCACAGTTTGTCTTAACTATGATTTCATGTGACGTTCAAACACAGACATCCAGGCCTAATCCTGACTTGTTCCCCAGGGTACCCTTATACTGCCTGGCAATTGAGATGCCTGGCCACAGCAAAGATGTAGCTTTCTCAATTTGCAGTATATAATAATTATAAAACCAATTCACAGCCTGTATCTAAAAAACCCACAATAAGCTTCTTCCTACCACAGTTAAAACACTCCGGTCAGTCAGTGGCATATCAACCAAACAGACTGTAAATCAGAAAATCAGCCAAAAGCTTATTGATAAAGGATACCCTTGAACAGTTCACAAAACCTCAGAGAAGGAATTCTTTGCTCCTCCTCTGCCCTGGGAGACTATTCCATAGGGAAAGTGCCAACACAAAAAAGGTGATTTCCTCGTATATTGGATAGAAAAGTCACCTTCAAAAGATGTTGAGACAAATGAAGATAATGGATAGGTCTGCCTAGGAAGAAACAGTCCTTCAATGGGTCCCAGGCCCTAAAGGGCTTTAAAAGTTAAAAACAGCACTTTTAATCTAGCCCAGAATCCAACAGGGAGCAACTGTAATACTGGTATGTCAGGGATAGACAGCCAGGTAGTACCTCAAAATGATAAGCAGAACAGGAAAAGTCCTCTCCTGACATGGTAAAAAATCAACATTCCGTAAAAGATCATATGTAAAAATATATGTTGCAATCACGACATCTAAGGAGATCAGTTTTAAAATGTATCTGTCTCCAGAACTAAACTCTGAATAGGATTTTGTTACTAATATGCATTTATGAAAAAAGATAGTCTGTACTTTCCTATAACCTGTCTGCTTTTCAGTGCATGTTTAGGGAACCTACTGGGATTTGGTTAACGTTACATTCATAACAATTTGTAACTGAGAGCTAGCAAAGTGAGTCGGTCTTCCTTCTCATGTGTATTACTTTGTTATCACTCATACAACCCCAGGGAGGTATAAGGTAGAAATTTTATACTTCCAGGAAGACTGCATGTAAATGCTAACAGATTTGTTATTAAGAAGATACGTAGTTGCCCAGCTACTATATACAATATAATTCATACTTTACAAGATCTGGCACAGAAACTTAGAGATATAAATTGGTCATAAAAGTGGGATTCAGAGTTTTACGAATAGCTTTCTCTCAGTGCTGTTATGCACAGAGTCCATTGTCACCCCCAACAATCAGCTTGTTGGATGATCAGGGAGTTGGATGATCAGGGAGTGGCTCCAGACTTCTCCCCCATCAGACCAGTGATTAGCTAGTTGGTGAAGCTATGGCATTCTCCCACAAGGGAGGAGGGAGAATGGCCTGGATACACCAACTGGATAGCTTGTACTTTCGTGCAAATGCATCCTGGAGGTAAAGGCTGTTCAAAATTTACTCTAAAACCTATCAGCAACATCTTCCCAGGAGGGACTAGTGTAGAAAATGTCCACTGTGACCATTCTCTCAGCACTGAAGGGGAGGGGGGCACATATCCTTTTACCATTCATCTTTCTACTGATTGTGGTACAAGATTCAGATATAATTATCCAAAGTGAGACTCATATTGTAGAGCAATCATGATGCTCTTACCAATTAAAAATTTTAAATTAATGTTAACGTTTATATTTCTGTGTTGAATTGTTCACCTTTATGAAGTCTTAATCAAGTCATTTGTTCACCGATACAAAATAGGTAAATAATATTACATAACACCGAGAATGTTTCTAATACAATTTTTATAGTATATTCCCATCTGTCTTTTAAATTGCTGTAAACTACTTTGGAAGCAAAGTATTGGCTGAAAAGTATAGAAAAGTAAAATACAAGAAGATACTAGGTTCTGCCAACCCACTTACCCCCCGCCCCATCTTCGTTTTCATTTCTGCAATATAAAGTGTAGGCCCTTGATTTTTTCTATCACAGATAAATTTAATAACCACTGAACACAGATGGAACAGATTATTTTTTAAAAGCACCAACCTGTGCAGCAGCTCTTACTGCAATCCAGGCCTGCACTCTATACATTTCCATGGCTGTGAAATCGTCAGAACTTGCATAGTGTGCATTGGTGGCCTAAAATGTAGAGGAAATTCCCAAATCAGATGAGTAGGAAATTCAAGACTGGTTAATGGAAGGTCATATTGTCATGCATCTGAGTATTTTAGAACAGGTGAACCTGAGAAGAAATTGACACTGCAATTCTAACCATTTGCACCACCATACAGTTTGCAACAATGGAGCAATAATCAGTGTGATGCAACATTCTGCTATGCTGCAGAATACAGTGGTAACTGCTGTCAAGTTGCAGCCAGCTTATGGTGACCCCATAGGGTTCTCAAGGGAAAAGACATTCAGAGGTGATTTCTCATTGCCTGCCTCTGTGTAGCAAACCTGGATTTCTTTGGGGGTTAACATAAGAACATGAGAGAAGCCATGTTGGATCAGGCCAATGGCGCATCCAGTTCAACACTCTGTGTCACACTCTGTCCAAAACCCAGGTACCATCAAAAGGTCCACCAGTGGGGCCAAAACTCCAAAAGCCCTCCCACTGTTGCCTCCCAAGCACCAAGAAGACAGAGCATCACTGCCCCAGACATAGCGTCACTTCTATACCTTGTGGCTAATAGCCACTGATGGACCTCTGTTCCATATGTTTATCCAAAGCTGTCTATGCTTGTAGCTGCCACCACTTCCCGCAGCAGTGAATTCCACATGTTAATTACTCTTTGGGTGAAGTACTTCCTTTTATCTGTTCTAAACCTACTGCTCATTAATTTCACTGAGTGCCCATGAGTTATTGTATTGTCAGAAAGAGAGAAAAGTACTTCTTTTCTTTACCTTCTCTATCCAATGCATAATTTTGTAAACCTCTATCATGTCACCCCTCAGTCATCGTTTCTTCAAGGTAAAGAGCCCTAACCTCTTTGACCTTTCTTCATAGGGAAAGTGTTCCACCCCCTTCATCATTTTAGTTGCCATTTTCTGCACTTTTTCCAATGCTATAATATCTGTTTTGAGGTGAGGTGACCAGAACTTCACACAATATTCCAAATGAGGCTGCACCATAGTTTTATACAGGGGCATAACTATACTGGCTGATTGGTCTTCAATCCCATAGTACTAACCGGGGCCAGCCCTGCTTAGTTTCCAAGATCGGATGAGAACATGCTACAGCCTGGGTCATCCAGGTCGGGGCAGCTAGGAAGTTGCAAATATGCCTCACCCCTACGTTCTTATTTCTTTATGCAACTGATTAAATAAATTATAATTAAATCACAAAGTATATATATAAAGTCTTATCAGAATTCAAGCAAACCTTCTTCACCCTTAGCCCAGAGATGCAGGTACCACATATGTTCCTACCTTTCCCCCCCAAGTGTTTTCCTATCAAAGTGCTTTTATAATTTCCTTCTAATTTTACACACAAATTTGGGGACTGGGAACAAGAGCTGCTTGGGGTGGGGAGCATAACACATCCATCAGTGGCAGTTTTCCTTTCAGAAGCCCTCGTGGTGTCAGGAGTTGGACCTGCCCTGGGCCATCCTTGACATGAGATTAAGACTTCAGAGGAGGAGGGTTCCCCCATCGTGCTTGCTACACTTCAGACTCCAAGCACCTTAAGATCTCCAGAGGGAGGCCCCATGCCAACAATGCAACATGAGGCTCCAGTTGGGGATCCAACAGAGTTGGCCACTCAGGAATCCCATCTACCTCCAGACTGCCCCCAATTTCCTCTAGGACCTCAGGAATAAAGACTATGGTGTCCTTAGCAGAAACCTAAACCAGGTGGAAGAGCATATGCTTTATAGTTTGAGGTATTCTGCAAGCTAGCCCTAGATGGGAGAAGAGCACCACACTCTCACAACAGTACAATTCCTGTTCTCGTGACAGGAAGGGTGGAGTTATCAGTTGCCTATAAAACTCTTCAGTTGGGACCTGAACACTACTGGTTCAACAGACTGAAAACACAGCTCATGCACCATTCTGGGCAGCTCCATCGTGAAGGGTTCCTCCAGCTATCAAAACCCTTGTCTGCCTCCTGTATCACCATGGTTCCTGCCTCAGTGATCAACTGCAGCAATGCCTGGCTTTAGCTTCATATCCGTTGACTTATAACACCTGTGCTAGCTACACAGAAGGGGACACACAGAACGGTTCTGAAGGTGGTGTGAATCCACAGCAAAAATTATATCAAGCATGATAGCATATGACAAAAAAGGATGATCGCGAGGCCCTATAAAGAGTAGGATTTGCTGCCTTGCCTCATCCCCCTCCCACCCAAAGATAGAAGATAATCAGAGAAGTATGCAATCTGTGGGAATTCTATGGCTCCTCTGTCCAGGATTCTCACTTGTCTCCTCCTAATGTCCCTGGTGTCTGCAAAGACCATGGACACTATGAACTCAGGGCACTCAGGGATCACGAGAAAAGCACACCCAGGGTTTTGCCAAGGCAATAGAGGAAAAAAAGGTTTTGTAAAAGATCAGTCTGCACATCTTTCTGCAATTCAGGCACCATCAGAAAAGTGCTTTGGTGTGATAGTCTAAACTGATACAGATTAAGTGTTTAGTACTATAAATGTCAGATTTTAGCATTCACGTGGCTGGCCATTACGATGGTCAGTTCATGTCATCAAAAAACACAGACAGTACTTATCTTTTATATCATTTTTAGCTATTCTAGTTATCTTGTTCTCCTAAGCAAAGAAAACAATAACCACTCTACTCCTAGAAGCACAGTTTCACAAATTTGTCTTAATGGTATGAAGAAGTGGGATACGTGATCAGCCTGCATTATATAGGTAGCTTTTCAGGGCCCCTCATGATTATAAACAAATATGCACAACATGAACAATGAACAATTATCTTCTCAATCACAGAACGTATTGTGACCTAGCCAGACTCGGCTGACAAAATCTCCTATGTGGACACATACCTTTGCTTTGAATGCTTTTCCTTTTACAGCACTTAAGGATTCCTTCTTGGCTGTAATTAAATAAAAATATAGCATTGCTACCTCTAGGTATGATCTTCTTATTAATCTGCAAAAAACAAAAGTGATTGTAAGTTCCACATTATACATTGTGTTTTATATGTTTGGTTTAATTGCTGCTTTTGTGTCTCTGTGTGCATTAATTTATTTACGTTATTTATTGTCCACCTTTCTCACAGAGATTCAAGGAGGATTGCACAGAGTTAGTCAATACAGTCAACAAAATGGGACATTCAATAAACAATGTATTAGGATTGTAGAAGTCTGGAATGGACCAAAAATCTAAAAGACAGAACTGAAGCATAGTGTAAGAATTAACATGACACATCAAAGTGTGCAAAAATTACATAGTAGGATCCTACTTATAATAAGCTATACACAGCACTGTGGACAACAGTCCCTAATCATTTACCCAAATAAGTTTGTGAACCATTTTGTACCGTGCAAACCTATTCCCTGAGCACAAAAGGCCTCTTTAATAATTCAATTTTGCATAGTTTGTGGAAAGCCAGGAGTGGGAGCCTTCCTGACCTCCTCAGGCAGGCCATTCCATAAAATGGGGGCCACAATAGATAAAGTATGGGCAATTCTTAATTTTGCCCATTTGCAGGTTGGCACCTACAGAATGCCCTGCTGACATGATGAAAGCTCTTGTGGCAGTGCATAGAGGAAGACACAGTCTCTCAAATAAGAGGGACCAAGGCCACGAAGGGCTTTGCATATGATAGACAATACCTTAAATTCATGGTATTGCATGGTAACAAATGGGCAACCAATGGAGTGTCTGTAGAATGGGAATAATAGGCATGTTTCATCTAGGTCCTGATAATAGCCGAGCCATGGCATTCTACTAGCCAGAGTTTCCAAATTGATTTTGAGGGGAGACCAATGTACAGTGCATTACAGTAGTCTACTCTCTGTTACTGTAGCATGAATCTGTCAAAGAGTCCAACCAATCCTGGGCCAAGAACTCTTTGGGTAAGCACTGCAGAACACAAAATTACAAAACCTTGGGCTGTGATTCCTCACACACCAGTCTGGTAGTCTGCCACCAGCCGTTTAGACTTTCCCAACGATTAAACGCTAAAGAGCAAACTTCCAGCCTTCCCAGGACTAAACAAAAAAGTCAACCCTGCAAGGTAGACTTACAGAATGAGTTCCTCACAAAAGCAATTACTCTGGTAGGTGGTTGGCCAGTTTAGGCTCTGGATTTAGTTTGAGTCAGGTTGAAGGCAAATAACCACAAAAGTAAAATAAAATATATTTTTATTAAGGTGCAAGAATATTTCAAAAAGGATCAAGCACTGTGAGGATAAAATAAGAAAGCTAAAACTTCAAGAACTAACTAAAATAGTAATACATTGGTTCCAAATATTAGATGTTACCATTCTCAGTAGAAAGTTCCAGTAATCCAAACTGGCTCTCTCCAGAGTCAGCGTAGCCAAAAGCTGTCTGGCTAGCACAAACAACATTCAAGGTGGTCACCGTGAGCAAGACTGTGTTTACATGTCAAGATCTCAAGTAGTCACCATCAGGCTGAGGCTAAAGTAAACATCTACTTTTTTTATGGGTGAGGGGCCCTCATGATCTCAGGCCTAAAAGACCAAGAGGGACCCTGAGTGATGACATATAGCCATTATTTTAGGCCAGTGGTTAAGCAGATGACCTAAGTGGTGGTCTGACCTAGGAGGAAGGAAATGAAACCAATCTGCAGCTAGGCTCAGCCCCTTTCCCCCAGGTACTTAACTGGATGGAATGTAGTTAATTGGGAGCCAGTACCAAGCTTTGTGACTCCCTTCTGCAGCTGGATGTTATCTGCAGTTTCACAAGGCCAGCTTGCTCTGTCTTAGCAAGGCAGTTTCTGAACTGTATTAACCTACAAGCAGGCTGCATCTGAAGCCTGAACCAAACATTGAAACAGACAAGAAATTTTAGTGTACCAGTTTTCTTGATAAGATCCCAGTGGCCAAATCAGCCATATCGAGATAAGGGTTTGTCTTACAGGCTAAGCTGAGTTGATAGAAAGCATTTTTTTTTTTTGCAGCTGCATTAGCTTACTTTAATTCACTTCTCCAGTAATAAAGTTGGACGTGATAAAACCCCAAGGCTTTTAAGTGAGGCAGCAAGAGTCAGCTGAACTCCATCAAAAGTGGGAAGAACAATGTCCTTCAAGACGTGAGATTGAACAGCATGGGGGATAGAACTGTACCCCGTGGAACCCCACAAGATAGGTCCCAACTAATCTCCAATAGCAACCCTTGGCGTTTGATCTGTGAAGAGTGATTTGAACCAGTTCAACACACATCCCCTGACACCTACTTCTGCCTCCAAGCACCTCAACAAGATGGCATGATCTCCTGTATCAAAGGCTGCAGATAAATTCAACAAGAACAACAGAGATGCATGTCCTTTGTGTGTTAAAACAGCTGCCTTGAACCTGGGAGGTTTTTGTCTGTTATGGAATTAGGTTCCAGTGAAACCTTGTAGGGTGAGGTAACCTGCCTGCAGAAAGGGGAATCAAATCTCCCCTCAGGGTTTATTTACAGTAATTGAGGCTCAGCTACAAAGTGGTTACTCTCACTGGGGAAAGCTTGTAACCTATGGTGATGAAGTTGACAGCCAGTTTCACTTTATATACTGAAATGATCCACAAGATAAACTTACCCTTGTTCAATGTTTAATTTTCTATTAAATATTTAATTTGTTGTTCTTCTCTCTGTGTGTCATGTCTGTCTAGTCAAATATCTATGAAAAAGTGATTTCTACCTACAGGTTCCCAAATAAGAGACCTTTAGGGAGCACATAGTGTACACCCCTTAATCAAAGCTTGTGTCCCCCTTTTTTCTTGACTGTGGGTGGTTGGGGTTTAAAGAGTCCATAGGAGAGGTCAGAGTAGGGGACTGGACATTCTTCAGTGCAAAGGGAAGTTGCCTCAAGAGTCCATCTGTCCTAGCTTCCCCCCCCCATAGCTACCACAGCACCTAATTTCAACCCCAAAATTCCCTTAAAGAAGCAGCAATCCAAATCATGCTTACTTTGAAGCAAGTCCTGCTTTGCGGAGAGGGTGGGGTACAAATTAAACCAATAAATAAATAAATAAAATCAGTACTTACTTCAAAATAGGATAGGATTGTGCTGCATATATTGTGCATACCGAGGATCCATAATTCCTGTAAGCCTGTGCTTTATAAGTAAATAAATAACACTGTCAAGAACTAGAAACAAAAGAACTGAAACAGTTGCTCACCCATAATTTTGGTAATTTTGCAGACTTAACTTGATAGCTTCCAGCAAGGTCTCGACAGCTGATGTTGATTTATTGTTACCGATTACAGTGATCTGTCGCTCCAACTTCCCTGAAAAAGAAAGACGCAAGAATTAAACTGACAAGACTTCCCCCCCCCCTGTCAGAAATAATGAAACAATATATTATGAATTCAAGAATGATAGATTCAGGAAAACCATGGGAAAATGAGATGCTTATTACCTTTCCAAAAAAGAATCTCTGCTTCCAGGTCTAATTCACGTTGTACTGATGCTCTACAAAGTTCCAGCGCTGTCTCTGTATGCCTAAGGGCTTGTTGCCACTGCAACTGATTTATTTTAGGTGAGCAAGATAATTCTAGAGCTAGTGTATGTCCTAGAAATTAATGTGTGAAAAAATATTTCAGGCATTATTTAATAATGTAAAATACTGTAAAAATATAGTGGTTTTCTTACCCTAAAATTCCTGTAGTATGTTTATCTCAGCAACAAAAATATCCAAACAGAATTTAGACACAAATAAATTCAGTCCAAGGAGACATTCAGATCTTGTATCAGTTTTAAATGAACTGGTCTGGTCAAACCGCACTGACTACTTGACAGTCGTGTGACTTTGTCCTAATACCAACTTATTCATACAAAAAACAAGTGGGGTAGACTGAGTATTTGTAGGCATTTATAAGTGGACTGAAATCAGCCTGACTGGGTCACTGCCTTCCCAATCTAGCATTGCCCAATCTAGCATTGCAATTGGCACTGGGTGAAATTTCATGACAAGGTCTGATGCTTTTAGGAGAAGCTCTCACATGACTTCTGAATGCTGAATTTAAGCAGTCCTCAGTCACGTGATCTCCTCATGCAGCATGCTTCCTTTATGCCTCCACTTCTTTCTTTATCCTTATTCCTCAAACTTCCTTTATGACTCAAAGCAGTGACAGAAGACAAGTGGAAGTACATTATCAAGAGGGACTTGGGGTCACCATGCAAAAAACAACAGCAGGAGAATGAAGGAGAACACGGGCAGTTCAATGCACCACAGATATAGCTTGCTTCTTCTAGAGTCACTTACATTTTTTTTAGTTCTGCAAGTTTGCCTTGGTGGTAGAGACACCAGCCCCTCCCCTTCTCATCCCCCCCCCAATCAAACCTGGCATTCACTAGGTTCAGAGGTATCTCAGATGCACCTTGTCAAGATCTTCACTCTAGCCAGCTGATCAATGCTGGCTAGCCCTTTAAAGATCAAGCACTGACTGCTGGCTCTTTGACAACCTGCTGTTAAGAACCCCACCCTGGAGGCAGAGAAGAGGAGTAACAGAGTGAAAATTGCTCAGAAGGCATTATTGGTCCTTCAAAGGCTGGGCAAGGAGGCCACTGGGCATGCCCCAAGCCTGGTTAGGGCCTTTAAAAGCCATGAGGGAAGAAACTGGTGAGGATAGACCAGTTCTATTCCCAGCTCAAAAGGAAGCAGAGCTAGAGGCGGTGGTATCCAATCCCTACCCCTCTGTCTGAGGCCAAGGGAAGGAACTTCACCCAAACTGGATCCTGGTGGGTGACAGCTGGGGCATGGGATCCTTCAAAAACATATAACAGACCTCAAAATATCTATATATCTGGACTGTTCCTTCTAGGGGCTGGTTGAGGACAAAGGTCAATTTTTTTGGGAAACACATATTATTTGAAGATAAATATTTAAAGCATTTCTCTTTTGTTTCTATTGTTTATATCTTGAATATGGATAGAATTTTGAAACACGAGAACGAAAAATTCTGATCACATTCCTAATGAAGTAATTAATACATTAGTTGCAATGATATTCTCAATACTATTTAGCCATTTATAGAAGGAGAAATTAAGTGGGAGAAATGTGATGTTAACTGCTTATTTCTTGTAGGAATCTACATATTTTACATTTCAGTAAAGCGAAGCATTGTTATTAAAGCCTTGTTCCTGTGAAGTGTGCAGTTATGCTAACAGTGGATTTACAACAGAGCTACACCACCACTATATCAACTGTATTAACTCTGGCACAGTAGAATACCACTGCAAGAGGTAAGGGGGGGGGGGGTTGGTGGCTATGGAAGAGCAAGGCAGTCTTGAATACAAACCATAAGCAAAGACTAGAGCAAAGCCGAAAGCGGTTCTGGTCAGTGGGATTCCACCAGCACCCACCCCTTTCCTTCTGCAGCTCCCATATGGCTCAAGAACATAGACAGCCATGCAGCAGGTACAGCTGTACCCTAAATGGAGGCATAGCAATGACCATGAATGATGCTGTTCAGTAGAGCAGCTTGCTGCCCAGCAAGGAGCTTTGTCCTCTCTTATGGACATAAATGAACTGTGTGTAAAATGTGCAAAGGAGACTCTGATGTAAGGTGACCAGACTGTGATGCCAGCAAGAGCCTGAGACGATGTGCCCGTGGTTCCCGAGGTTGCCCCGTTCCAGATTTCAGGCCTCCGGGAGGCAAGGCTTGCCACGACCAGGGCCAGATCCTTCTCAGTGGTGGCCCCTACCTGGTGGAATGAGCTCCCGGAGGAAATCAGGGCCCTGTGGGACCTTATGCAGTTCCGCAGGGCCTGCAAGACAGAGCTCTTCCGCCAGGCTTTTGCATAGGGGCCGCCACTGCCACCACCATCAATGGTGTGGATAGCAACAGGGCTGGGGACAGCCCCAGGGAGATCTTCTACAAGACCATGTGGCACTGGTACCACCGGACTTACTTGGGACCAACTACAGGACAAGACCATCCCCAAAGAACTGACTGTCACCATCATAAGATTTATTCGGGGACCATCCTGTTTTTATGGAACACTTTACTTTTATCTGTGTTATCTAATGGTTTTATTGCTTTTATTCTGTTTTACATGGGCTCTGCCCCTTGTAAGTTGCCCTGAGCCCGCTCGTAGGGAGGGCGGGGTAAAAATGTCAAAAATAAATAAATAAATACTCCTAGACACATGAAAAACTCTAAAACAGCCATCTGCCATTGCTGTTTAAACTAAGGACTCCCGATGTCAGTAAAGAAGTCCTTCTTTATCACGCTGGCAGCCCCCCCCCCTTCGCTGCATCGAAGGCACAAAAGACTCTTTCCTGCCTTTCGCTTGACAAAGACTTGGCCTTCCTTATTCATTCCAGGAACCGGTTCTGCAGCCCTGAGATAAAGAACACAATGGGTGCGTTCAGATGGGGCGTTTCTGCCGGCATAAACGCGATCACACTTACCTCCATTTTGCGGTTCCCATCGGTGTATGCCCGCTCACACGCTGCGGGCATCGGCGTTGTGTTTTTTTAAAAACACAGTTTGAGCATGCGCATAGGCAGCCATTCACAGAATGGCGATCTTTGCGCATGCTCAAAACACCCCACATTACATTTAAACTTTAAAGGTAAGGACTTACCTTTAAAGTTTAAAGACCAAACTGGCCTCCCTGAAGTCCTGGACTCCTCCGGATAGTTAAAGTAAGGGCTTCTTTTTTTTTTTAACAAATGCTCAGGGCGAAGCTTTGCCCAAGCACATATCACTCAGTTTTTTTAAAAAATGGCGGGGGGGAAACGGAAGCCTCAGGCTTCTGACGGAAATGCCTAGACACCGGTGGAGAGCGATCAGACGGAGGGGTACATCGAAAGCAACTGTTGCACTCAGTATACCACCACTTGGGGACCTAGTGGCAGAGTGCGACGGTTTAAAGGGATTTACAACGGTTAGGGACGGGAGGCAGATGTTCGCCGTCTGAACGCTGGTAAGTACACCGGTTGGAACCGGCACCTATACCATTGTAAATCCCCCATCTGAACGCACCCAATAGGTGCTAGCCGATGAGTCATAACAACCCTAGAGGTGTCTCTGTCACAAGTTCAGTTAGAATTCAACACTGACCAACCCCTAAGCCCTTTTCGCATTACGGACGTGACTTCTGGAACAGACCACCAAGGGGTGGTCTCAAGGGAGGTGGCCAGCAAAGCCCTCCCCCCAGAGCCCCCCATATAAAGGGGGCACCCAGCAACATGCTCTCTCTCTCCCTCCATGCTCCCTGCGCTCTCTACGGCCCCCTTCACCCTTTATATGTCCTTTCTGGCTCTTTAGCTTTTAGCTCTTGTTATCCTGAAAACCATGCTGCCATTTCCTAGCATAATTCTCATTCCTTTTCCTATCATAATTCTCATTCCTTATTTGTAATGTATCCATCTCCGACCACGTGTGAGACAGGGCCTCCACACAGTCATGCGAAGCGCCCGAGCTTCGCTCCCAGAGACAATGGCCCAAGCAGATCCTAGCCCGCGCCAATCAGAGGGCTAGGCTCCCGTCTGACAGACCATGGAACTCTCGGCCACTGTAAATAGCCTATCACTAGTGTGTGTGTGTGGGGGGGGTGTTTTGGGTGTGGGATTGTTGCACATATAAACAGGCCTGCGAGCCGGGTATTTTTGTCTTGTTCTTCACTGGAAATAAAGTATGAGAGCTGAAATCACTAGTAAGTCTCAGTACTTTTTATTATTAGTCTCCCTTATTTTTCCACTGGGACGCATCATCTCATCAGGACAGGTAAATATTGCCCCCCAACGATCTCCTGCTCATGCGAACGTCTCCTGATGGTCTATCTAATCTTCCTAGAAGCTGTATAATTGTGTGTGTGCGTGTGTATTGTTTGTGTGTGAAGAATCTCCAGTAAAATCTCCAGTAAAAGGAAACCATTTTTATACTGAAGCCAGCCTCCGTGTCTATTTCTGGTATCTCTGGAAGAAGCAGGACCTCTGTATATACAGGTATTTGTTCCCTTATTACCTATTGCTATTTTATAATATCTCATATTCCCCAAAATTGATAAGAACTCAGAGCAATCAGGCTAACAAGCTCAGTAAATGTTAACTATGAGGAGAACAGAAACACAGGTGGAACAGACTCTCTCCCTGCTGATGCTCAGTTCAGCAGTCCTCAGAATGTGCTATGCAGAAGGGGAACAGAAGTGCTTCATTGTCTTCCAACAGGGCTGAGAATCTGCAGCTTGGCATGAGCCACACCACTGGAGTACCAGAAAGGGTGATGAGGTGAGACCCAACTATTGATTGACTTCCACTGCTTAACCTTTGGTATTACTAGTGTTATAATACAGGTGAAAAGGGGAGATGAACTGAATGCTGGAACAACAACATTGGTCATCAACCAAATGAAAAGGAGGGAGTTATGGAAGGATAGATGAGGCAAAATTACACACATCCCAATGCACATAACAGCCAGGCAATAACTATTCCTGAGTACCGCATCATGCCATCCTGTTTTATTTAACTGGTTTTTAATTATATAGTCATTGTATTTTATTCATGCTGTGAGCCGCCCTGAGCCCACTGTGGGATACGGTGGGATATAAGTGCAATAAATA